TCTGTTTTGATGATGCTATCAAAGAGTTTGGTTTCATCAAAAATCCAGATGAACCATGTGTGTATAAAAGGATAATTGGGAGTATAGTATCGTTTCTTATTTTGTATGTAGACGATATACTCTTAATCGGTAATGACATACCGTCATTACAAGCGGTTAAAATTTGGCTATCAAAAAGATTTTCCATGAAAGATTTAGGTGAAGCATCCTGTATACTGGGTATTCAGATCTATAGAGATAGATCTAAAAGGATGTTAGGATTATCGCAATCTAGATACATTGGCAAAGTGCTAAAACGGTTTAGCATGGAAAATTCCAAGAAAGGTTTTGTACCTGCATCTCCTGGAATCTCCCTCTCTAAAAAGATGTCTCCCCAGACTGATGAAGAGAGGAAACACATGAGTCTAATTAATTATGCCTCGGCAGTAGGATCGATCATGTATGCCATGTTATGTACTAGACCGGATATCGCTTATACACTCAGTTTGGTAAGTAGATACCAATCTAATCATGGAGAAGAGCACTGGAAAGGGTCAAAAATATACTTAAGTACCTGAAAAGGACTAAAGAGTTATTTTTGATATATGGTAAAAGTGACCTCCAAATGGAGGCTTTTTCCGACTCTAGCTTTCAGAGCGATATCGATGATAGTAAATCTGTTTCAGGATATATTTTTACCCTTAACAGAGGGGCTGTCAGTTAGAAAAGTTCCAAACAGGACACAGTAGCAGACTCTGCTATAGAAGCCGAATACATTGCGGCAAATGATGCAGCCAAAGAAGCTGTCTGGATGAGGAAGTTCCTTTCAGAGCTGGAAGTTATTCCCACTATTAAAAATCCAGTACCTTTATACTATGATAGTAATGCTACAATAGCTCTGACAAAGGAACCCCAATCTCACCATAAGTCCAGACACATTCTGAGGAAGTATCACTTGATCAGGGAGATAGTTGATCACCAAGAGATCAAGATTGAAAGAGTTGACACAAAAGATAATATAACAGATCCATTCACAAAGGCAATTGCTCGTACACAATTTGAAAAACTTGTTGAGCTATTGGGTATTAGATACTACAATGATTGGCCTTAGTGCAAGTGGGAGTTTGTTGGATATAGGTGCCCTACAGGTAATAATTGTATATTGTAACAGGACCTATATGAATATAATATCCTTATTTAAAATAATAGTATGCTATTTTGGTCAGATTTATCTGGTATTTTAATACAGATAAAGTCCTTAGAATGATACTAGACTATCAGACATTTCGGATATGATTGTAATGAAGAGATCTGATTTGTCGCTAACGTATATTCTAAAATGTTCCTAGTCGATGAAGTGTTGAAATGGGACATCATCACTTTAGTAAGACTAGTGTATACTCTATTTCTTCTTTGGAAGGATGATGATCCATCTCTTAGATCATTGATGTGAGACATCAAGATATAGTATACAGGTGACTCATTAGTGAATGAGTTGACTGAACGACTCACTGAGAACATCTAGTTGGTAATTATACTTAACTGTCAAATAGAAGTTCTCAAGTGATATAGTACATAGTAGTCTCATGACCTGAGGCATGAGTGCAATATCTTACATGTCAGTATAGGTGTACTTAGACTTTTACCTAATCACAGTTCTCATCGAGTTGTGCACAACGGTTCTTGTTGGGTACATCCCGAGGCATAAGTAGATATTGAGATGCCAAGATGGGATTCGTCTCTCCCAGTATAAGGGGTTGATGTCATAAGATTGTTTGATATAACTATAACCTGGAAATCCTTGGCCGAGGTAAATAAGATAAACTAAGTGTCAGTTTGATCTTAAAGGTTATGATTTTAATATCTACAAACACTAATTGAGCAATTAGGGTTTGACAGTTTTTCATACCCTAGGCTTAATAGTTTGACATGGTTTGACGAAGAGATCGGATTGTACGGCATTATCACTGAGTGGTCCTGATAAAATTGTATAAGCATCTTGCAGACATTTATCACAACTTATACCCGGGTAGTTTTCATGTGTAGCTAGCACCTCTGTTGTACTTGTGGATATGATCCACTGCCGATTTCTTAAGTTGGGCCTTAGAGTCACACCAAGCGCGTACTTGAATCCTATGAAACATAATTTATAGAGTGATGCGTATGATTGATACGCATATATGATTTTACCGGATACACATAAACGGTTATGTATATCAATAAAATCGGAATGCTATGTGCTTAGGAAATGAATTCTAATATTTTTCCTATAAAATTAACTTTTAGTCAACTAGTTGACTTTTGGTCAACTCATTGACTTTTTTGGTCATATGATGACTTATTAATCAATGATTGGAAAATTATAAAATATCGTATTTATGAAATACAATATTGATTTGATATTCTCATTTATGAAATACACATACCATGTATAATGAGTCATGAGAGAGTCATTTAGTGGTATGGTTTGAGCACATGGTTTATTAGCATGGTTTTTAAATGTAATGATTCATAAGATGATTCATTACATGACTCACTAGATTAATCATTGATATTTGATGATTCATTGCATGACTCATAGGATGAGTCATTCATGTCATGAACATATTTCTCTCTATAAATATGAGCTCTCTTTCTTATGGAAATTTTAATGAAAAATTGGCTAAGTGGTTTTTTCCATAAGAGAATAAAAGAGAGCTCTCCTCTTACTAAATTCTAGCAATCTTGAGTAAGAGGAAGTAGTAGGATTTTATAGTACCCCCGGGTGGATATCTTACCTTGTGTCTCAAGAAGACTCCGATTTTATCAAGCTCACTTGAAGACTTGGAGATCCACTACGAGGAGATTTACTACTACAAGGAGCAAGAGTTAGGGGTTGTTCGATCTTCCATCGAATCACGCTTCAAAAGTATGACTTTATAACCCTTGTATGCTCTCTTTAATATAGGGATTATGTTAGATTTAATTAGAATGGTCCTATAATCCCGCCCCAACCCAAAAAAACAACCCCAAAAGCCAAAAAAACCCTTGAACTTCAAGATTTTATAAAAAAAAACCCTAGCAGCATTAACTATAACTTTTCACGTAGGTAAGATGACGTAACGGGATATGTTTTTTTTTTCCGGTAAAGATTGTAGTTCACACTTCTAGGGGTGGTTTGATAAGGTTAGGGATGGGCTGAGGGATTGGTTGTGGTTGTACATTTTTGGATTGAGCTTGTTGGAGATCTTGATTGGAGAGGAGCAAGGGTGGTGGTGGTCGAAATATTCATGTCTGTAAGGTTCCTGATGGGAATACGTTAAGAAGTTTCTTAATTTTGCTATCCTGCACATAGCTCATTTTGAGACCCATAATTTATGGTAGATTCATGCATTAGAAGTGACTAGTCACTTATTATCTTTAATTTTCTATTAACACTTATTTCTTCAGAGATGATGTTCAGATGAAATTATCTATATCATATTCCAATATGTACTACAAAAGATGTAGTTCAACACCCATAAGAATAAAGTTCAGATTTTATCAGCTTGCACATAATCGGATGATCTATACCATACTTATACCATACTTGATAGGGGTTAGGTTGGAAATTTTTTAATGTTTTCGGTGCAAACCGCCCCGTGCTTATAGGGTAGTGGTTCTTAAAGGACCGGTATTCATAAGAAACTAGACAGATATGTCTACGACATAGATAACAGATCCTTCTACGACATAAGATGTTAAAACAAATTTTTGACTAATTGTATGTGCTTCTCAAAGCAATAAAACTCTTACCAATATCCTACTGACGAGGATGAAATTTGAAGGACGAAAATAACCAGCCCATCAAGTTTTAGCAAACTCTCAATTTCCCCCATAAACTTTACATTTGTCAAAATTTTTCACTTATGTATATTTGTCTAATGTGGTCATTTTGTGAGCACATTCTCAAATATTTAACAGATAAATGATGTGAAAATATTTCATTTGCATTTCTTCATGGATTTTATAAATATCTCTTCTTTTC